GCACAGTTGATATGCTTCAAAGACTGCCACATTAAAAAAATACAGTACATACATCCTGTAGAAAAATGTTTGATAGAATCCACAATTTCAATGTAATGAAAAAATAAGCAATTTACAAACAAAACACAAGCTTTTTATTTTATCATCATTTATCATTATTATTTGTATGTAAATCTAGTAAATACAAGGTAACATAAAATCAACAAAAATTATTCTTTGATAAACAAATAGTACTGTACTGTGCTTAAAATGAACTCTTGATTTAGAAACACATAATTTTAAAATCAATCTTTCAACAAAAAGAGTAACTTTTTTTTAACCTTTTTACATTACCATCTGTTGCATATCTTAAAAACAGTTATTGCATTATTATATGGATAGGATAGATAGGGTGTGACCCATATCCTATTTCTGAGATCAAAGAATGTTTCGATAAGAAGAAATAAAACTCATATTTAATCATTGAGCCTTCTACTGCCCCCATGAAAGCCTCCAGCACCCATAAAGGGGCATTATCGCCCACTTTGAGAAAGGATGGTCTAGACCAGTGTTTCTCAACCCAAAACTCATCGCAGACCGGAAAATATCTGCTTTTTTTAAGCAGACCAGTGACAATATTATTTTTAATTGAAAAAAATTCTCTGTTGTAAAAAGAACTGCAAACTACATTGAACAATAAATATTTGTTATTTATTTACCAGTGCATTAGTATACAAATCAATGTGATCAATGCTTTTCTTTTTTGCTAGTAAGATCATCAATTCTTGGATTTAAGGTGGTAACTGCAAGGCGTGAGGCAGAACTAACAGTAACGATTTCATTGTTTTGATTTTATCATTACCATTGCTGAAAACGTTGATTTACATAAGTACGTTGTTGAAAAAGGTAGAAACATCCTAACTGCCTTTTCATGTAAAACTGGATATTCAGATTTAACTTTAATCCAAAACTGTGTTATGTGCATTGATTCAAACAATGTTTTAAATCCCAAGTCTGAACTTAATTCGATTCGTTCTTCGTGTTCAAAGTCGTTCAAATCTATTAGTTTGCTATCAATAAATGAATTAATAATCCACATATTTCCTATTCGGGAACAATGCATGACAGATTAAATATATATTTTTAAAGTTTTTGTGGACTGGTCAGATTAGAGTTGTGGACTGGCGGTTGAGAAACACAGATCTAGACTGTGGTTCAGAAAAATTTCATTGCAGAGATGGTGTTTCTCACTTGCCAAAGTTTAGACAATTTAAAAATTTAGAAATCAATAATTTGGCCGACTTTCTAGATTGACTTGACAGCAGGTTTAGACTGCATTTTACTTTGAGTGGAAGTTGCCATATTGATTTTTTCATCACAAGTTTAGTTAGAAATGGATATCATTCATTTCAAAAGTATTGTACTGGACAAATCAACAAAATTATTCATCTTGACAATTACAAAGGGAGAGAATAATATGAGATTGGAGTAATCCATTAAAAATCTATTTCAAAGAAAAATTCTAAATTCACTATAGATTTTCTAAGTCTGGATTTGCTCATATTTTAAATCATATTGGTGATGAAGTTAAACATCTAAATGGAAGAGGATTGCCATTAAATGTTGAATAACAGTTGTTAATGGCCTTACGATTTTATACTACTGGAAGCTTTCAGAGAATAGCTGGTGATTTTATTGGAGTTCACGTCTCTACTGTATGCAGGTATGTATCAAACTCTTATTAAATACATTTAAATTTTGTGTAGTGATAAAGAAGTTTATAATAGGAATAAGGTTTTTTCCCACTTTGTATTAATAGCTTAAATATTATATTCTTTAATAATTATTGCATATCATTATCAGAACTATCCAGTGTTTCCAAGGCATTAATTTGTATGAAGAATGATGAAATTGTATTTCTGATGGAATCTGAACTTCCATCTACTATTCAAGATTTTTCCACTTTATCCAAGGATAACTTTCCCAGAATAATTGGGGCAATTGATTGCAACTCATATTCCTGTACAATGTCCTGATAACAGTAGAGCTCAGCTAATTATAATTGCAAATCACTTCATTCCATTAACTGCCAGATGAGAATTACTTATATATGTCATCAACTTTATTTATATTTATGAGGTTAAGAAAATCATATATTAATTTTCAATAACATACAATTTTATTTTCTTCCATAAATTTTTTTATGATTGTAAATGATTGATAACTTAAATGACTATTTATTATGCAATGGCCTGTGCATTTTCCTAATACAGGTATACNTATTACAGGTATGATCAATGTTGCCAGTTTTTAAGCCCTAAATTTGCCAAAATCAGTGATATCTGTTATCCAATGTCATTTCTGTTAAACTAATTATTAAACTATGTATTGAAGTTGAAGAAATTAACAGAAGACAGAGGGAAAATACGCTTGCAGTATAGTACTTTCAAGGAAAATGGTAACAAAAATGTAAAAAGCTCATTCAAACCACAAGTCAATACCAGCATTACGATTTCAACTTTTAAAAGTTTGCAAACAAATTTTTAATTAGTTATTTTTTATTCTAATAAACAATTTCATCTTTTTATAATTGCTGAATTATTAAAATTAAAAATTAAACACTATTACATAAAAGTAGTTTATCCTGTTATTAATCCACAACTGTAAAATTGTACAGCTTCAGAACAGTGAAAAAAACCATTTCAAAATGGATTCTGGTGTATTTTCTTATTGCAGCATTACTTCCTGCTGCCTGCAGATAGCTATGATTGGTCATCCATATTCAGCAAACGAAATCAACAACACAGTTAAGGAGACAAATTCCCTGACTTTTTGACAATTTTTGACAAATTCCCTGACTTTCCAGGTGCGTAGGAACCCTGAATATATTATCTCTCTTTTCAGCTTTACAGTTCTGATGTTGAGTTATGAACACTATTTGCTAGCCACTTCAAGGGATAAGGAAAATATTCCAAATTCTTGCATTTATAATGTCATTTAAGATCTAAGTGACTAATAAAAATCAGTACAGTAATTTGTTTTTTGTAATTATTGAATAGGTATAATTTTTTAACATTTTTGCTTTTTTCAATAACTGATTTATTAAAAATTACACTTTAGCCACCACAAAGCTGTTGACAACATAAATTATGCCATAAGTGCGAGAAAACCAAATACCTTCCTAAACTTTAAAGTGGTCGGCAAATTGCCTTCATAACACGATCTTTGAACATTCACCAAATAAACACTGTTGTGATAACCTTAAAACTGTTTCTTTTTCATTATTACTGTTCTATGGTTCTTGTCAAATGAACAAATAACTTGGGCAAAATTCATGGTTTCTTTGTACTGTAAGTTTAATTCAGCAACTTTAATAACATTAATATGTAGGACGATAAACAGTGATTGACAACTTAACCAGATCAGTCTTCTCTAATAGATAAAGAATATTGTTCAGCTTTTTACAACCTGTCCCCTCCCCTATTCCTATTTTTTAGGTCTTTATTCCAGCCCCGCAGTCAAAATTTGTCCTCTGAAAGAGTATTTGAACTGATTCTTTGTTTTTGTTTTAAAGTATTTTGTACATAATTAATTCTTTCAGAATATTGAAGATGAGACTTTGTGTTTTTGTATGGTAGATTATGAAGGATGGTGTCTGCTATTTACAGATAAATATTATAGATGTCCTATTTGAAGGGTCTGGGGATTATAAAAATGTCTGTTAAGTAGAGGTATCTGTTATTTAGGAGTGTCTGTTAATGGAAGTTTTACTGTAATTTTATTAATATAGTATATATAAAGTCGTATGTCATGAATCAGTGGGAACCTTTTTCCTTGTCCTTTAAAATCATTTTCAAGGTCACTTATGTCCAGTATGTATTGCTGCTGAGAACAAACGCTTTGAGGGGGTATTAAAATAAATAATGTATTTACTAACAATTATTGACTTCATTTTATTTGTTTAGTTAAATCCAATCCAGACATTATTTAATAACCATTCTGCAAAGAGATATTCAAGGTATTAATCCTTGTAAAAAATGAACTTTAACTCTAAGCTCTGAAAACTCAATCCATCATGGTTGCTAATGACTAAATTGTTTTTATCCCTCAAGCTACAAGGGAACTTGTATAGCAAACCTAGTCTAACGTCTAAACTTTTCAATCAGCTGATTTTGTTTTTAACGGATAAGGCCGATTTTGTGTTTAAAGAGTTAAAATGGTTCCATTCAATTCTCCATGCATCACTTCCTCAACTAAATTCAATATTTTTGAAATGAAAAGGATATGAGAAACTTTTGACTTACCCTATGTATGTGAATGTTTGTATATATACACATATATATGGTCACAGATTGACTAAATAATGAGCTACTTGAGAATATAAGAAAATAATAATTAATTATTAATGAAAAAATACTACTAGATAAATGGTTTAACATAAAAAAAGAGCAAATATTTCACTTTTAAAAATATAGAATAATGAATGAAAATTGCAATGTAAAAAGTTCTGAAATAGAATGGTTCTGTAATTTTTAAAAGGTCAGCATAATCCTTAGAGCCTACATTGTTGATACTGTAACTTGTAATTTATAGAACAGTTTGTTGTTATACAGTGTATTGTTTTACTTTTATTTTGTTTTTTTTTTGTATGTTAAATAAGATCAACAGTATTAACAGTAAAGATTTAAAGGTCTAGAAATATTCATGGTTCTCCCAATTTCACAAGATCCCATATCCCTCGTCCCTGAAAATGTGGAAGGCCAACTGTATTATAGTTACAAATACTTTTTGATAATTATAATTTTATATTTTTAATCAAATCTTTCAAGTTAATATTAACAAATACTATCTAATTCAATATTTTGAACTTACATGATTTTCAGCTTTATGTGCTTGTGCTTCTTGAGAAGCCTGCTTTAATTCTTGAACTTTCTTTCTTAATTCCTGCTGCTGTTTTCTTAATTCCTTCAAATTTTTCCGTCTTGTTTCATCATCATCCTCATCATCATCCTCATCCTCATCCAATTCTTCTTCTTCACAATCATCACTTGTATCACTATTACTTGAATCAGAAGCACTCCCACTACTGCTGGAATTTTCTCCACTTTCACTAGAACTACTAGATTCATTTGACTGAATGTCCGTATCTGATCCACTATTTTTATTAGTAATTTTTTTCTACAAGAAAAAATAAATTCATATAAAAAATTTATTGTANTCTTAAAATATATTAATTTATTTTAGAAATTTTTTCTAAAATAAATTAATATATTTTAAGATATTAATATATTAGTTAAAACTACATAAATAAATATAATTAAATTTGTATAAGCACAATCAACTACATAATAGTTCTAACATTAGTACAGAAATAAAATGTATTTTGTCCAAAAGAAAAGAAAAACAAAATCCTGAGGAGCATGAATAAATACTACTAATACTTCTTTTTGATAAGTCTACTCATGTTCATAATGTGTGTTTTCAAAATTTGTTATGTACACTGATGGCCATTAAAATTGCAACACCAAGAAGGAAAGCAAATAAAAAAAAAATATTTATTATATTTATTGTACATAAACAGTATGGCATAAAGACAAAATGATTAAATTTGCAAGCAGTTTGGGAGTTTACAGGGGCGCAAAATTAGTAGACACTTGCCATCCCCGGCGGCTAAAATGGCCCTTATCCGTTTAATAAATTTTTGTTCTTTAATTTAACTCTTTCTGTCCTGTGGGCACTAAGAAGGCCTCTTTTAGCAAGCCAATTATGAGTTTGGCCAGGCCCACAATGAGACAGCTGAGTAGTGAGGAATGGGGCCTGACATATCTGAATGAACCACAACATAAAAAATTCCTGGGGCTTAATGTCTAGATTATTAATATAATATTACAATATGATATTAATATTTAATATTTATTAATACTAGATTGTCAGTTAATTAAAACTAGGAATAGTAATTAAAATTCTGACCTTTATACCAAAATTGAAACTAAAAATAAAAATCAAAACTATTTAATTAAGTTCAATTACAATTTAAACATATTTGAAAAATTGTGGATAAACTACATGTTGTCTGTCTTGATTGATTTGATTAAATTTAATCCAGGCAAACAGAATTGAGTTTCTAATTAAAGATCTCTTCATAAAGTTTTAGTTTTAGTTTCAGTTTTGATTGGTGGTGACAACATTTTGCTTTTAATACATATATATTAAAATATATATAATAGATATAGATATTATATTATATTGTATTTGTAGGCATATTTATGCACGAAATAAAATACAGCTAAAAAGGTAAAACAAGACTTTGTTTGGGGGGGTCAAGAACAGATTATTTTATATTGTTTATTATGGAAAAATTTGTTTCATTTTTCGAACAACTTTTAGGAACAAACTAAGTATAAAGCCTGAGGTTTCATTGTTATTAGGATGTCATCAACATAACAGGTATAAAAAATAATATATGGCAAAAATTTCTGGAGTTTTCTAGATTCTAGTTCTCTCACTACTGACTTGCACAGGTCCCCAGTGAATGGACTTTCTATGGGAATGCCACATTTTTGCAGATAAGTTTGATTATTAAATGTAAAAAAGGATATTTAGCCGATTATAAAATTTGCTAGTGACAAGAGTGTGCTGATGGAACAATATGAAACAGAAAATCATGTATAGCATAGAAACAAGGCATTAGTCTGCAACAAACTGAGAGGGGTAACATAATGAGTGGTAAAAATTTCAAAAAAAGAAAACAAAAATAATTAGCCAAATACTGTAAATGTACTTTAAAGTTGTTTATAAATATTATACAGTAGAAGATTGCCAGTGCTAGAAGTACTCTATTGGCAACAGTTTTGTAAATAGGAGACAAAACTCAATTTCCTCTCAAGTGCATGATATCATGAGGTTGGTATAAGGGCAATAGTCCAAACTTACTTAGTTTGAAAATACTTGCCACAAAAGTACAGCATTGCGCAAATTAACATTGTACAAATGAATTTGTACATGAATTTGTATATGCTTAACAAAGAAGTTTCATATAGACAGAGTATTGGTGTGATAAGCCTTCCGAATTGTTAAAATCCTATTTATTAGGTTATCTAACTCTATCTAAATTAAAGTCGTGAGCTAGAAGCATCAATTATTATTATTAATTAAAGAAGTTTCAGTTTACTGTTTGTATAATATATTTACTTTTCATTTTATATGTTGTTTAAAACAGGGTGAAATGAAGTCATTTACTTTTATAACATTGATAATTTTTTTTGTTTCTTTTTTTGATGGACTTGTCACATACTGATACAGTATGTAACTTCAGTTGTCTCCTAACAAGCTCCAGTCATATAAACGAAAGTCATTCTGAAAGTTAAAGTGAATAGCAAAAACAAATAAAAAGCTGGAAAGATTTTTATTTGTTTAAAATAAAAAGCTGGAAAGATTTTTATTCATTTAGCGAAACTGATCCAACCTACAAAAAAGTGGAAAGCAAAAATTTTCAACATGTGAACTGACTGTGATTTTCTAAACAGAAATTCATCAAAAATGGCATTAAACATTACATATTATTTACTTTGCTTTTTACATTTGCTGGTGTTTTGCTGTCAGTGGACAAACCTAAATTGAATATATAATTTGCTTTTTCACTTTTCTTTTTTTTAATAATCACTTAAAATTTTTCCATTTCAAACTGAATAACCCATAAGTAAAGAAAGTTCTGTAGAATACTGAAAAATATGAAGTATAGAACTGTATAATTGAAAAATGTAGAACTGAAGTGTTTTATAATGAACAAAGTACTATGTAGAAAACCATTTAACCTATAATTTCAAAAAATGTACAATTGAGAAATGTAAAAATGTAGTAAATATAATGGTTAAGTAAAAGTCAAAACATAAAAAATAGTTAAGTTTCCATACTTTTAGTAGAATCAAGATTAGTTTCCATCCACCAAAAAATTTTGAAAAAAGAAAAGAAATTTAAACAAAATATTGTAACATAGTACTTTTTATGATATGATGATTTACTCTAAAATGTAAACAATAAAACAAGCAATTTTATTAACAATGTTTTTCTATGGTGCTCAATTTACTTTCTGTGGTAAATTTAAGATTTTTTTCAATTAAGATATATATTTAAGATTTTTTTATCTTGTATATTTTATCTTGTATCTTTTCTCTTTTTTTATCTTGTATATCTTATCTTGTATATCTTATCTTGTATCTTTTCTCTTTTTTTATCTTGTATATCTTATCTTGTATCTTTTATCAATTAAGATATATATTTAAGATTCATTTTTATCTTGTATTCTATGATGCAAACTTACTACAAAAATTAAAATTTTCAATGTATTCAAATTCAATATTTATTTATTCTATTTTCTAAAACTATTATTGTATCTGATGATATAAAGATACTTTTATTTTTATTAATGATTCTAGTAAATTAATACAAAAGTTGTTTTCAAAAATTTGAGATATCTTTCTTCTCAGATTTTAAATTTATATATGATTTATTTGTAATGTTTGTTTATTAATTAATAAACATTGATAAAAATATAAATTTAAATTGCTGGGCTATTACTTTTTTTTCTTTTATTAGCCCAAATATAAGCCAGTCCCCAATTTTGAAATCCTTACTTTAAAAACAAAAAAAAAAAATAATTAGGATGTGAATACAAGTCAACCCTTTACTATTGGGTTGACTCATATTCACATTCCATTTGCATACAAAAATTAGCAATTTGATTTTAAAAAATTAAAAAAAATGAAAATAATGAAGTATTCTTCATTGCTTTATATCTTCATTAGAATTTTCTTTATAGTCATTCTTCTTCACTATTTCATTACTACAACGTCATTCAGTACATTCAGTTCTAGAACAGTACATTATCCTCTATTCCATTCAAGTTGATGGTCACACACCATTTCTCAAAGCTCTTTATAATTGTGTCTTCATAAACACACTTTCATAGTTCTGCTGTTATTCTAACTTTTACAAGAATATATGAAATTATTACTTTTTATCTATGCAACTGATTATGAAAACTAGATGTTTTTAATTACATTACTTTCATTTTAAAATTACTTTATTTAAAAGTAACTCTTTTTAAATTTGTATTTATTAATATCTCGAAATCAATCAGCAAAAATAAATTTTTGGTTGCTTTCTTAATGATTTTTACAAATCACATTTAAATTATATCTAACTGATCAAAAATTGTATTCAAAAGGTTTGTTTTATAGAAATAAAAAGGCATGGGATAGCTAGATTATAATTGACAAACTTTGTAACTTGTTGCTTTTTTGTTGATATCAATAAAGATGAAATTAATAAAATTTATAAGTAAAATCAGCTGAATATCCAATGCACCAGATAGTACGCTGCCAAGCACACACATCATATTAGGGAAGTAGATTTCCATAAAATATTCCACATGTATTCCCAAAAATACTTGCACAGATTTAGGATTATCAAAACCAAAACTGTGTGTTTTATTTTAATACAAATTATTTTTTAATAAGTATTGAAAGCATTTTTTTAATAAAATCTAAAACATTTGATCATACTGAATACAAAAATTTATAATTATACAGACATATTTTACAACAGAAAAAAATACCATGGTAAATTTTCAGAACCTCCCCAAATTTTTGACAATCACTTGATTAGTAGTCTTTTAGGAGTAAAATAAAAAGTTATCAAAATAAAATTTTTGCAGAAGTTACCAAAACTTACCAATACTTTTGAACAGGACAAAAACAACTGGCTTAGCTTACTCGACTACTTTTGAACAATCGATTAATTGATTATTTATAGTTATGCCAAACATTTAATTCCTGTGCATACTTTGCAGACTGAAGAATAACAAGTCACAACTTAGCTGGAGCTTATCATTGCTAAAAAATTGACCCACCAAATTTTAGCATTTAACTCTGTATCCCATATACCACAAACAGCTATCAAAATTGAATATATTGGAGGTTGAGAGTGATGTTTTGTATCTTTAAAGCAAAAAGCAACTAATATTCAAGCCAATATGATATATAAAAATAAAAGGAAAAAAAAAGCAAAAGTTACCTGTTTGTGATGTTTTTTCAATTCTTTATCTTTCACATGAATGCCATTTTGGGAGGAAAGAGATATTGAAGCATCTTCATATTTTTGTTTTGTTTTTCTACCTAAATTATGTAAAGAATTTACTGATGATGAAGACATATCTAATGACTCAGATAAAGATTCCAAAGTTTTTCTTTTCCCTGAATTTTTTTTTAAAGGAGGATTTGTTGTGACAGAATCTGCAGAGTCTGATACATTCAGCATCTGTTTTTCACTGAAATATGAAAAGCATTAACACCATTAATTCAAAAACAACTTAAAACTTTTAAAAATATAGTAAAAATTTTTTTAATTTAAAAAATTATTATTATAATATATATTATTTGTGGATTACTGTCTTTTATAACTTTTGTTCTGTGCTTAAAATAAATTTTTACTTTTTTACTTTTTCCATAAGTAATACTGTTCAATTTTTTCATAACTTTAGAAAATATTACTGAAGATTATTTTTCCATATTAAGAATTATTGTTGCATTATTACATTTCTTTACCTTTAAAAAATATTATCCAATATTACTTATCTATTTAAAGAATAATTTCCATATAAATCAGGACTGCACACTGGAACGAATATAAAATTAAACTCACTTGAGCCTTTAACTGGTGTATTACTATTAAATCTTATAAACTGAATGTTATTTGAACTCATACATGTGCACATTTATTTGGAATTCCAACTTCATACTAAAGCTGTTTTTTTATGATGATCATTATGTTTGATCATATTTATTCAAATCACAAGAACACATGCACAGAGGAGATTGTCATGTGAAATTTCCAATGTTTAAATATGTTCGAATTTCATATTCGTTTTAGAGGATCCAGCTAGTTTACAATTAAATGATGCCTGAAGAAGAACCCATTAGGGGTTAATAAAACATTCGATTTACAAGATTTAATCATAATACACACCAGTTAAAGGTTCAAGTGATTCTAATTTTATATTAATTTCTATGTGTGTATTGTATTTTACCCATATCAATGTAAACTTCATAAAAACACTTTGTTATAATAAAAGTAAAATCTTCACATAGACTGCCTCATTGAAAATCCTATACCTATGGAAGCAATCACTGCTTCATAAATATAAATTCAGAGTTTTAATTTAAAGTTCAATGTATAACCTGCCCTATCTCAATCCACATTCCTTTTCAAATTGTCATTTTAAACACACTTGTGAATTATATTCATAAAAAATGATAAATTTAAAAAAAACTGTTTTATATTTCCCTGATAAATTCTAATATTTTTAAAAACATTTTTTACTTTTTTAATATAATGTTTTAGGATAATTNTTTTTTATTTATTTGTTAATTTATCTAATATTTTTGTTTTAAATTTAAACGTAAAAATGTTCACATGTTCTGTTGTTTAAATATTAAGTTTTTAAAAATACATTTGAATTTCAGTTTACACCTGAAGATGACCTATTGCATTAGGTTGAAAACATTAGTGTTTTGATTAATAAACATATCTCAACAAGAAAGGTGTATTGATAGTTTATTAATGTTTAAAGCTGAGTTGGATATTTATTTTGATCATAATAGAATTTTTCATACTGTTTTCAGATATAAAAACAGTTTTTCTCCATCATGTCTGGTTTTTTGTGACAGACAGTTTATATGTAAAACATATTTATTCAGACATGCACCTTTGATCCCTTCACACGCTGTTGAAATAACAATTCCATGACAAGGTTGACCTTTTATTGCAAGCTACTTGTCCACCATACAATGCAAAAAAAGTTAAAATAGTGTTCTAGCAGTATAAAGATAAAATTAATAAATTCATTTTTAAAAATTGCAGGAATAAATTTACTTTAACAGAAAAAATTATCAAAAGAAACTGACTCATCTTGTATGTATAGTCTCAAGAAATATAATTTTTTCCTATTAAAGTAAATTTGTCCCAGCAAGTTTTTAAAATGCATACACCTATTCATTTATCTTGTCTAAAATGGCAAGACGTGGAGCTTCTGTTATGTTTTGTTTTTGGAAAATCTCTAGAATGTCCAACAGTAATCAGCAAGCATTCTTAAAATCTACTGGCCCTTATATCTCTTTTCCATAATAGAGATGTATTGATGGAAATGCTCCCCGTGTTCATCACTGACAGCACCAAGAATGTCGGGGAAGAAATCCAGGTGGGAATCCAAGAAGTGCATTCTGAGGGACAAATTATATCCCATATCATTATAAGACTTTAAGAGCCCATTCAAAATTCTTCTGTAATTTTGAGCTTTGTGATTACCCAAGAAATTTTGTACAACATCTTTGAATGACTTCCTTGCTGACTTTTCACCTGCACTTAACAAGCTTTCAACTTTTTCATCTTTAATTAAAGTTCTTATTTGTGGGCCCATGAAAACTTGTTTTGATTTTAGCATCACTTATATGAGGAAATTTTTCCTTTAAATAATGAAATCCAGCATTGTTTACATTCATTGCCTTGACAAAGATTTTGAAAAGTCCTAACTTTATATGAAGTGAAGGTAGAAGAATCATGTCAGCATTAACTAATGGTTCATGAATAATATTTTTCTGGCCAGGAATACACATATTTCATGCTTTGGCCATTCCTTCTTGGTGTAATAATTTTTCTTGTCTCTGCTGTTCCACTCACACAAGAAACAAGAAAATTTAGTATAGACAAGCTGCAAACCCATTAATAATGCAATGGATTTTAAATCACAACATATGATCCAATTGTACTAGTGATAATGAGTTTTTTCAAGAGTTTCATATCAGTCGAGAAGCTAAAAGTTCAGATCCCTATCAAGATCATTTAGCTCATCTTGAGTTAATAAATGAGGTTCATAAGTAGATGTGTTATCTTCAAAGTTAGGATCATCTTTCTCCTCATTTTCAACTTCTATAACCACTTCATGTTTCAAATCTTCACCAGGAAAATTGTTCTGGCAGACCTCATACAGGTAAATTCTTACAGTGAAGAACTGGCCTCATAGCAGAAATATAAATTTGGGTACTTCACTGTGTGTTTGGATTTACTAGTTATTTCTTTTATAGTTGTCAAACAAAAATCACAGTGTAACATGATCTCATGGTTCATGCCAGACCATGGGTACTGCAAAGCTCAAGTGTCAAGGACAGTCCACTCTGTCAAACATTTTACACAAGTTATACAAGTTGAAAATGTAGTGCCCAATTTTTATCCTGATTGCCCACTTTACAATCAAAATATAGTTCATAACATTTTTTAACAAGCATTCACATCAGCTATAAATCACAAGACAAATGAAATTCATCTTCACTCAATGCAAATACCACAAATTCTGTGTAGTAGTGGCCTGTGGGTGATGAGTCATGTTATGATTCATTAATCTGCTATCTGAGTAACAAGTTGGTAAAACAAACTTGTTATACATATCCCATCTTTGTTCTCCCTGCAAGAGGTGCACGAAAGTTTCTGTGGACGGCTAGATATGGAGCCAAAATTTAAGTCTATGATTATGAAATATCAGAGGGTGATAAAAAATTTCAATCCCATATTTGAAATCAGTAAAAAAAATCTATAGGACAAAATTTCTATTTTCTGTTTGCCAAAAAGCATGTTGACCAGTGTTGTTATTCAGTCATCATTCAACTGAAATTACACTGTATAATCAACAATACATACATACTGAATATGAAAAGAATAAAAGTTTCAATTAAGTGTGTTTGTAACTATGAGTAAGTTGCATTTAAAAAAGTGCAGAAAAATAAATTAAAATTTAAACCCACGATTCTTCCTATGTTGGCCAAATATGTTACTTGACTATTTCAAATTGAGTAACATTACAACTCAGATTAAAAAAAAATATGTCAACTAATAAAAATAATAATAATAATTTTATGCCAAAATTTTTGGGTTAAAATTAGACTCAATTATATTAATTAATGACTGACAAAATTAGGTCACAAAGCAATATATTATCCAAAATATACTTAAGTAATTTAAGTTTCATTTAATTTAAACAAGAATATTAGATACAAATGAGCATATCTGATCTTATAATTGTAGTAATTTAATAGTAATAATATAATAATTTTGAAATATTTTTAAAATATCTACCTGAATTATGATTTGAACCAAAATTCTGCTCCAAGTGGATATTTTTCAGATTATCAGATGAATTTTTAGGTTTTAAGTAGCTATGTTTAATAATTCATAATATGCATATTTATAACCTGAATCTGCAATTATTGTAATTTAGTCTAATTCTAGTTTGAAAACTTTTGATATACAGAAAGACCCTGCTTAATGCAAGGGATGTGTTCCTAGAGGACAAAGCACTAAATGAAACAGCATTAGATGAGGTCATTTTAATGTAGAGTAAATAGAGAAAGAGGAATAAGCAATCAAATATAAACAGATTTTACTTTAATTTTAAGTTATTTTTATAATAATTTGCATAACACTATATGTTAAATAACACAAATATATGCATACAGAAATGTAAAGTTTATTTTTTATGATGGTCCTGGCTTTTCTGAAATTCTTGATTTTGTGAAAGTTGTGTAGATTCATTTGTCGCTTTTTTTCTTCCATTAAACAAATGTTGGTAACAGAAGATCACATTTAAATGCCTTGTTTTGCCTTTGCACTTCTTTCAAAATCTGAATCATTCGCTACAGTTTGATTTTTGATTTTGGTTATTGTTACCAAACTTTTAGTAAAGAAATCTGTAGAGAAATTCTTTGAGTTCTTCGTTTTCAGAATCACTATTTTCCAATTCTACATAAATTCCTTGTTCGGCCAGTTCTTGAAGGTCATTGTTGGTAATGCTCTCACTAGAAACCTGCTGTAACTCCTCAATATCCTGCTTGTCTACATCTCCTAGTCCTGCTGTATCGATTAGGTTAGCAATTTGGTCAACCTAATGATACAGTGATAGGCTCTTTTCATTGAGAATTCTTAGATACTTTCAGCCATAACTTCTTCCACACTCCGTTCATGCATTCATCAGTTTATTCTTGCTAAGTGAAGTCGATATTTCATATGGCATCCATGATGTTATATTTTTACCAAAACAGCATCAAACAAACATAGATTTAAGGGAAGTACAGCACTACGATGAATTGCCGCCTTTTACTGATTGCTTCATGTTTGTAAATTATCATATTATATATGAATCAATGAAATGCCATAATAATTTGAATCAGCATAAATGTTGAGCTTTTTTTAGGTTTCAAGCAGACCATGTTATATCAAATCAGTGTTAATCGAGGCAGCATTAAGCAGGGTCTTACTGTATTTTTTCATGTTTATCTTTAATTGAAATAAATACTTCCTGAATCTTCATAATATAACAATGATAATTCCTATAAAATGATTTACATATTCAGCAGATAGCAATATAATCTATAATCAAATTTTCTTCCAATTACTTAAAAAATTTAAATGAATAATTTAAGATACATTTTTNACTACTTCATGATGTTCAAGCATTTAAGACACCTTAAAAAATAACAAAATTAATTTAATTATTAAATTAGTTTTGCTATTTTTTAATTTGACTCAAGTGTCTGAATTTATATTCTCTTGCAGTTTTAGTTACTACTTCATGATGACTAATCATTCTTATTAATACCCTACTTATCAATAATGATGTTATAAAAATAAAGATGAATAAGCGAAATTCTAAAAATAAGTTTACCAAATACCATACAGTACAAACAAGTCATCAAACAAAACAAGTTGTTCTCACACCTATAGCTAAACATGTCTTCATGCAGCAGCTCACCAATAAACAAATTATGTATATTTGGATTCATTATGCATAACAACAATGTAATCTTTGAATTTAATTTGATAAAGTACTTCCTCCTATATTTTGCAACTGTATTTTTCAGGATGAATTGAACATTGGACAGCACAACAACAGGGCAATTTTTAAATGTAAAAAAATCAGATCAGACAGTGACAACAAACAAAATCAAACCTGCTGGTATAAAAATTGTTCTTAAATAAGATTTTCTGGCACAAAGAAATGCATTATATTATCATTGATTAGTAAAACAGCTATAATACAGATGGATAAGTATGCCAATAACATAGTCCATTTCATTTGAAACAATCTATAATCATTGGTTTGCTTGTCCAGCTGTATTAAAATTACTTTACCAGACAACATGTACTATATCTAAAGACTCTATGATCTCCTAGATAGCTTTTATATATATAGTGGGCAACTGTATGATTACATGCTATAAGCTGTTGCTGGCACATGATCAAAATCCAACATAGTTTAGCCAAATAAAGCTCTTTTCCATGTTGTAGATATAATCAGAAACAAAAACGAACAATTAAAATCTTTTTTATCTCTAATTTTACTCTTTATTTTACTTAGCAGTCTACTGAATTTTCTTGTGTGATATCAAATTTCAATATTTACAGCATCTCACAATCAGTCCCAATATCACTTCTAAATTCTCTCTATAAAAATTAAAAAAATATCTTGCAAGAAATTGATAATAGAGTTCATTTCATATTACTTCCAAAATATTCTTTAATTTTGGGAAATGGCTGATATAAAAGCAAAAACTGTTTCCAAAAACTAAAATTAATTTAAAGTTTGTTTTATTCAAAAAATCTTTGAAAGATATGTCCTATTTATAAAGTTTTCAAACATGATTATGTTTGTGTTTAAATATAATAATAAAAAATTAACTAAGCTATTTTTTCCCATCTTAGAAAGAAAATTCTTGTCACCAATAAACAATTATTATTTTCTCTCTTTCCCAACTATAACTCAGTTTAGAAATTTAAGTACTACTGGAACAAATGAATTGTCTGATATGCTTTCTATTTTTTATAACTCTGGTTCGCTTGAAAAAGTAAAAAATATCAAATGAAATATCATAAAATTAGTTATCACTTCACGCCAACTTTATAATTATTGTAAAATCACTTACGTGTTGTGGCATTACCACAGTGAATTATTAAAATATAAATATAAAATGTTCACGAACACTTTCGGTAACGTACAGTTATCATCTTCAGGTAAAATACATACTACAGTTTTTTGTATCAGAGTTGTAGTACTTCTTGAAAAAGTGGTGCGGCTAAATGGAACTCCAATGTAAATTGAAATTTTCTTGCAGTTCGAAAACGTTTTCGAACTGCAACTGTTTCGAATTACAGACACGTCAAAAATTTAGATAGTCAGCACATCGATAAGAAGACATGGCTCTGGACAGAGGATGTACAACAAAATGTGCATAAAAAGAAGATAGCCTTTAGAGCTTGGTTCACCAATAAGATAGGCGAAAACTGGCAGCGGTACACTGCAGCCAAGCGGAAAGCCAAGAGAGCAGTGGCTGCAGCGTGGGCTGAACATCATCAAAAACTTTACAAGTAACTTGACACATGGGAAGGTGAGAACACCTACCAACTGGTGAAAGCACGAACAAGGGCTGCGCAAGACATTGAGCAATACATGTGTGTAAAGGATAAGAATGGACGGTGTCTGCGGGATAAGAAAAATATCTTGAGCTGCTGGCATGAACATTTTGATGAGATCTCAAACATTAAATTCCCACATCCACCAATTCCTGAGGGTCTGCCCTGCTCTGCGCCATTCCTTCAGATCATGGCTGGGGAGGTATCTGCAGCGATTAGAAGTATAAAGAACCAGAATGGTGCCTTCTGGTTCAGAATGGACCAGATGACCTGCCAGCCAACATCTGAAGCTCAAGGACCTGCACATTGAGGCTAACTGTGTTTTTCAATTCAATTCTGTCATAGTCACTGGCCAACCTCCAGTGATCTGGTCAACAAGTATCACAGTACCAGTCTTCAAGAACAAGGATGACCCAGCAGAATGCTCCAACTACCGGCCAATATGCCTATTCTCTCATACCATGAATCTTTGAGCGCATTATTGACCAACGTTTGCGTGACATCGTTCGGATCAGTGTCGGCCAGTGTGGCTTTGTGAGGGGCTGTGGAACTGCTGATGCAATCTTCATAGTTCACAGGTTGATGGAGAAACACCAGGAGAAAAAGAAAAATAATCCACTGCATGTCGCCTTCCTTGACTTGGAAAGGGCCTTCGACCACGTACCCTACCAGCTCATTTGGTATGCACTCCACAACCATGGAGTGCCGAGGACCTAATCAGCTGGGTCAGAATACTGTACACAAATACCAACCTTTGTAAACGGCATCTATATTTTGGCATGTCAATTCGCATTCTATTAAGCCTGTTAAACCAATGTACATAAATAGTCTGTAAGCATTGCTATTGTTGTGCCAACTATTTTTTTTGTAACACCTTTATGTATCTAGCATGTAAATCACTGTTTACAATTTGTTCTGTAATTTGTTTTCATTTAAATAAACGAGGTGCAGGCGCTCATGAACCTCTTGACCACCTTTCCACTATCCTATCACACTTTATTTTCCCCTTATATCTAACTACTTCAATAACACTTTCTTCTTCCTTCCGTTTCTGGCTCTGAGGCTATACCTTCGAGTGCGGCCTGTGACCACCTCCCACCTGTACACAAATACCAGCAGCTAAGTGAGGTGCATGGCTGGTACATCTGACAACTTCCCAGTGAACATTGGCATTCATCAGGGCTCCACACTATCGCCACTGCTATTCATTCTCATCATGGACACTATCACAAAGAATATACAGAATGATGTTCCTTGAATGCTACTTTAAGCCAACGACATCATGCTTGCAATCACCACTCAAAAAGAGCTACAGTGCCAGGTGCAGGCCTGAAGCAACCATCTCAGTTGCTTTGGCTTGCACATTAACACCAAGAAGACCAAATATCTAGAAATTTTTTCAAATGTGGGCACAATCCAGTTCAATGGTGATAACTCATATAAAAAGCCCACTTTTTGCTACCTTGGCTCAACCCTACAGAGTGACAGAGGCATTCACAATGAGGTATGAACGAGGATGAATGCAACGTGGCTACAATGGAGAGAAGTCACTGGTGTTCTCTGTGACAAAAAGATACCCATGTACCTGAAATAGAAAATCTACTGGACTGTGGTATGACCCATCACTCTCTATGGTTCCGAATGTTGACCATCAATGAGAGCAGCCGAACGGAGTCTCCATTCCATGGAGATGCACATGGCTCGCGGGATGCTCGGTGTATCCCTCCTCAACCATATCACCAATGACACAACAGGCCAACGATTCGGCATTGCTCCCATTGAGGCAAAAATGAGAGAGAGAGAGGCCTGTGCTGGTTTGGCCATATCCAATGATCATTCTGGATACAGTTACTAACATTGCCTACCACCTAGAGATGAATGGCCACCAGCCACGTGGAAGACCGAAGCAACGATGGCAAGATGCTATCAATGCAGACCTAAGGGCTCTGTACCTGAACACAGACAATGCTCTCGATCGAACAAAATGATGTTCAAAGATCCGAATAGCGGACCTTACATCTGTGGGACAACACTAAGAAGAAGAAGAAAATTACAGAAAATGCAGTTTATATAAGAAATTTCTAAACATGTTCATTCTTATTCTTATAAAACTAATTATTATTTTATCACAAAATTTTTAACATCTTCACATACTGACTAGACTTTAAATATATAATTTTATGAATAATTTTTAACTAATAAAAACAGAGGTAATATAACAAACAATGTATTCAATATTTAAATTTCTGAAACTGTCCAACTAACCTGTATAAACAAAAGGTATTTTGTTTTGTCTAGTCCCAATCATAAAAATTACAATAAATGCATCAATGGACAAATCATAAAATAAATTGTCATTTTAGTGTAACTACAATACAATTAAATACTGAAAGTATTAAATTCAGAAATTACAAAACTCTATGCTTATAAATCTATAAATTATTATAAATTATCAAAATTTTAAAATTTTAAATACATCATCACTTTATTTTTTAATAAAACTACTTCAAAACTCAAACAAAAAAAATAAATATACAAGTTTAGTTTTTGCTTAAGAATTTGATTTGTAAAACAACAAAATTGTTCTTGAATATATTTTAATATAAAGTATTAAAATTATCATATTATTAATACTTCTGCTTAATCATTCTATTTGATTAAGGTTCAATTATTTGTGTAAGTACCTGAGACTGGTAGCTCAGTTTTTATCTCAGCTGAAGGAGGCCTGGCATAGAGATGGCCCAACATCTCTTCTACTACTATAGAAATAAATTACAAAACAATCAGAAAATTTTTATATGATCTAATTGAATAATATATTCAATTAATTCTCATTATAAATTACAAACTGATGCATTCACATACAGAAAATGCTCATGCAAGATATTATTATAAAGCAATAAAATTTCATTCAATAAAAAGAATTTGTGCAGAAAATAGATCTTTAAAAAATTTATATCTAAAACATTTATATTTTCTTTATTAATAAATTATTATTTTAACTTTGAAGAGTTATATAAAAATAGTTTTCTAATTAATTAAATATTAAATTAAATTTATCTAATTCAATAATACAAACAAAATAATTAAAAGTTTTTAGTTTATGTTCATAAACACTGAGACATCAAAAACTATTTATATTAAAAAGTAATAATTCTGTTAAAAATAAATAGAATCTCCTCTCAGTTCCGTTTTTATGCAAAATATGGTTTATAAATTAATTTAATAACTAACGATAATAATTATTAACAAATATTAAAATAATTTCATAATTTTTGTTCAATTCAATTACTTTTATTTATTTTTTTTATAGAGATAAAAAGAAATAAAGTTTTGGAATAAAGCTACAAAAACAAATATACTACCACAAATTTTATAAAATTTATACATGGAGTGTTTTCCAACAATGATAAAAGAAACCTATAATCCATATTGAAATACCATTACATTATATTATATTATATATAACTCTTACATTTTATTATTTAATAAACATATAAATTTTTCATCTTTTATGACTAGAAAGTAAAGATAACTGATGATTTGAATTCATAAATGTGATGATAAAAAAAATTATCACTTTCCACAAAATGTCTAATGTAAATATAATTAACTGAAAGGATTTTAAACTTAAATATATAAACAAAAATAAATGCCAACACTGACAAATTATAAGATAACAAGTAAAACATCTTTCTAGATTACTTTTATCATCAAAAATAAAATATCTTTACTAAAAGAAGTCTTATGAAAAAACTTTCTAAATATTTTCAAGAATACCTCTTATCTCAAGAATCATATCTTTTGTAAAGATCATCCAAATTCAATCAAAAGCATTCAAATAGAACTAGTGTTTCAAATATATTCTTAAATGTTTCAATGCTTTTTGGTTCATTGCTAAATGTAACAACTGAATCCTTTAAAACATTAAGTTTACATATTGTGATATGTTTTATTATTAAAATATGTTTTTACTTTTAAAGATTTGAAAACATTGGTTGTATTCAAAAAATTTTTATTTAATAATAATAAATTTCTTCAACAATAAATCTCAAGGTTTTCATGTAAACTATCTTTAAGTGAGAAGTTTTTTTGAACATTTTTGATATTTACAGGCTTACATACATATAGTTTCTATTAAGAATTCTGTTTATTTATTAATAATTAAAAGTTTGTTTATCCAAAAAATTTAAGTATCCTTTAACACTGTATTTAGTTTATGAATTATTAAAATTTATTATTATTAAATTTAACATTTCTATTAATTATTGGAAACTTAAACATACTTTTTAGAATTCAAAGTAAAATAAAAGCTCTTTTTTTTGGCACACAAATGAAAATACCTGATCCTAATATATATGAAGGAGGCAATATAAAATAACCCAGACAAATCACTTTAAAATCTCAAAGTTCACTTTTAATCAAAACATCAATATCATCATGAAACAAGTATCAGTCAAAAACACTCCAAAATAGTTTGCAAAAGAGCTCCTAATTTATATAGTATTTTAAGAAATGATAAAGACATGCTTAAAAAAGAAGAAAAAGTGGGCGTATATAATTTTCCTTTTGAAAATTATCAATTAGGAATTAAGGAGGACCATACTGGGATCACAAAAAAAAAATTTAGTCATTAGACTTAAGGAGAACAAATATGACATTAATTAAAGAGCACTGCAACAGTTTTGTCAAGTATGGCACAAGCAGAGGACTCTGTAGTTAAATGGAATGAAGCAACTATCCTCAGGGCTGTGTGTTCCCTATCATTAGCAATGCACAAAGAAAAAATTGACATCTATAAAAGTAAATTAAAGAATGGTTGTATTAATGCCAGGGATGCAGATGGACTAGCTTCTGCATGAAAATTCTACATAAAAAAAATTAAAACAAAAATTCGTAGTCCGCACCTGCCGTTATACTTGGATGAATTTTTTGTGTACTGTATTTTATTTCATTTTTTATTTTATTTTATTTCATCTATGTTATTTTATTATATTATTTATACCATTATTGTTTTAGTTCATTTTTATATATTTTGTTTTATTATTTTTTTATTTATTTGTTAATTTATCTAATATTTTTGTTTTAAATTTAAACGTAAAAATGTTCACATGTTCTGTTGTTTAAATATTAAGTTTTTAAAAATACATTTGAATTTCAGTTTACACCTGAAGATGACCTATTGCATTAGGTTGAAAACATTAGTGTTTTGATTAATAAACATATCTCAACAAGAAAGGTGTATTGATAGTTTATTAATGTTTAAAGCTGAGTTGGATATTTATTTTGATCATAATAGAATTTTTCATACTGTTTTCAGATATAAAAACAGTTTTTCTCCATCATGTCTGGTTTTTTGTGACAGACAGTTTATATGTAAAACATATTTATTCAGACATGCACCTTTGATCCCTTCACACGCTGTTGAAATAACAATTCCATGACAAGGTTGACCTTTTATTGCAAGCTACTTGTCCACCATACAATGCAAAAAAAGTTAAAATAGTGTTCTAGCAGTATAAAGATAAAATTAATAAATTCATTTTTAAAAATTGCAGGAATAAATTTACTTTAACAGAAAAAATTATCAAAAGAAACTGACTCATCTTGTATGTATAGTCTCAAGAAATATAATTTTTTCCTATTAAAGTAAATTTGTCCCAGCAAGTTTTTAAAATGCATACACCTATTCATTTATCTTGTCTAAAATGGCAAGACGTGGAGCTTCTGTTATGTTTTGTTTTTGGAAAATCTCTAGAATGTCCAACAGTAATCAGCAAGCATTCTTAAAATCTACTGGCCCTTATATCTCTTTTCCATAATAGAGATGTATTGATGGAAATGCTCCCCGTGTTCATCACTGACAGCACCAAGAATGTCGGGGAAGAAATCCAGGTGGGAATCCAAGAAGTGCATTCTGAGGGACAAATTATATCCCATATCATTATAAGACTTTAAGAGCCCATTCAAAATTCTTCTGTAATTTTGAGCTTTGTGATTACCCAAGAAATTTTGTACAACATCTTTGAATGACTTCCTTGCTGACTTTTCACCTGCACTTAACAAGCTTTCAACTTTTTCATCTTTAATTAAAGTTCTTATTTGTGGGCCCATGAAAACTTGTTTTGATTTTAGCATCACTTATATGAGGAAATTTTTCCTTTAAATAATGAAATCCAGCATTGTTTACATTCATTGCCTTGACAAAGATTTTGAAAAGTCCTAACTTTATATGAAGTGAAGGTAGAAGAATCATGTCAGCATTAACTAATGGTTCATGAATAATATTTTTCTGGCCAGGAATACACATATTTCATGCTTTGGCCATTCCTTCTTGGTGTAATAATTTTTCTTGTCTCTGCTGTTCCACTCACACAAGAAACAAGAAAATTTAGTATAGACAAGCTGCAAACCCATTAATAATGCAATGGATTTTAAATCACAACATATGATCCAATTGTACTAGTGATAATGAGTTTTTTCAAGAGTTTCATATCAGTCGAGAAGCTAAAAGTTCAGATCCCTATCAAGATCATTTAGCTCATCTTGAGTTAATAAATGAGGTTCATAAGTAGATGTGTTATCTTCAAAGTTAGGATCATCTTTCTCCTCATTTTCAACTTCTATAACCACTTCATGTTTCAAATCTTCACCAGGAAAATTGTTCTGGCAGACCTCATACAGGTAAATTCTTACAGTGAAGAACTGGCCTCATAGCAGAAATATAAATTTGGGTACTTCACTGTGTGTTTGGATTTACTAGTTATTTCTTTTATAGTTGTCAAACAAAAATCACAGTGTAACATGATCTCATGGTTCATGCCAGACCATGGGTACTGCAAAGCTCAAGTGTCAAGGACAGTCCACTCTGTCAAACATTTTACACAAGTTATACAAGTTGAAAATGTAGTGCCCAATTTTTATCCTGATTGCCCACTTTACAATCAAAATATAGTTCATAACATTTTTTAACAAGCATTCACATCAGCTATAAATCACAAGACAAATGAAATTCATCTTCACTCAATGCAAATACCACAAATTCTGTGTAGTAGTGGCCTGTGGGTGATGAGTCATGTTATGATTCATTAATCTGCTATCTGAGTAACAAGTTGGTAAAACAAACTTGTTATACATATCCCATCTTTGTTCTCCCTGCAAGAGGTGCACGAAAGTTTCTGTGGACGGCTAGATATGGAGCCAAAATTTAAGTCTATGATTATGAAATATCAGAGGGTGATAAAAAATTTCAATCCCATATTTGAAATCAGTAAAAAAAATCTATAGGACAAAATTTCTATTTTCTGTTTGCCAAAAAGCATGTTGACCAGTGTTGTTATTCAGTCATCATTCAACTGAAATTACACTGTATAATCAACAATACATACATACTGAATATGAAAAGAATAAAAGTTTCAATTAAGTGTGTTTGTAACTATGAGTAAGTTGCATTTAAAAAAGTGCAGAAAAATAAATTAAAATTTAAACCCACGATTCTTCCTATGTTGGCCAAATATGTTACTTGACTATTTCAAATTGAGTAACATTACAACTCAGATTAAAAAAAAATATGTCAACTAATAAAAATAATAATAATAATTTTATGCCAAAATTTTTGGGTTAAAATTAGACTCAATTATATTAATTAATGACTGACAAAATTAGGTCACAAAGCAATATATTATCCAAAATATACTTAAGTAATTTAAGTTTCATTTAATTTAAACAAGAATATTAGATACAAATGAGCATATCTGAT